GAGACACACACACACACACACACACACACACACACACATAGACAGAGACACACACATAGACACACGCACACTCTCTCACACACACACACTTACACAAACCAACTCGAGAAACATCGCGAGAAAAAGTGTAATTTCAGAGGATGTAAATGATAAATTCAAGAAAACAAGAAAGTAGAAATGTTGAATGTATTAAAATAAAAATCTAAATCTGCAATTGATAAATCCATAACTTGCAAAGATACCAATTTGACTAAAAATAATTTTAAAAGTTTCCAACAACAGATAATTTGTCCATCTTTATAATCCTGAATTTCAACAAGTGCTCCGTCCCAGCTGTGTGCGTCACTCTTTAGTGTCCCCTGGTCTCCCAGCTGTGTGCGTCACTCTTTAGTGTCCCCTAGTCTCCAGCTGTGTGCGTCACTCTTTAGTGTCCCCTGGTCTCCCAGCTGTGTGCGTCACTCTTTAGTGTCCCCTGGTCTCCCAGCTGTGTGCGTCACTCTTTAGTGTCCCCTAGTCTCCAGCTGTGTGCGTCACTCTTTAGTGTCCCCTGGTCTCCCAGCTGTGTGCGTCACTCTTTAGTGTCCCCTGGTCTCCCAGCTGTGTGCGTCACTCTTTGGTGTCCCTTGGTCTCCCAGCTGTGTGCGTCACTCTTTAGTGTCCCCTGGTCTCCCAGCTGTGTGCGTCACTCTTTAGTGTCCCCTGGTCTCCCAGCTGTGTGCGTCACTCTTTAGTGTCCCCTGGTCTCCCAGCTGTGTGCGTCACTCTTTAGTGTCCCCTGGTCTCCAGCTGTGTGCGTCACTCTTTAGTGTCCCCTGGTCTCTCAGCTGTGTGCGTGACTCTTTAGTGTCCCCTGGTCTCCCAGCTGTGTGCATGACTCTTTAGTGTCCCCTGGTCTCCATCTGTGTGCGTCACTCTTTAGTGTCCCCTGGTCTCCAGCTGTGTGCGTGACTCTTTAGTGTCCCCTGGTCTCCAGCTGTGTGCGTCACTCTTTAGTGTCCCTTGGTCTCCCAGCTGTGTGCGTCACTCTTTAGTGTCCCTTGGTCTCCCAGCTGTGTGCGTCACTCTTTAGTGTCCCCTGGTCTCCAGCTGTGTGCGTGACTCTTTAGTGTCCCCTGGTCTCCCAGCTGTGTGCGTGACTCTTTAGTGTCCCCTGGTCTCCAGCTGTGTGCGTCACTCTTTAGTGTCCCCTGGTCTCCAGCTGTGTGCGTGACTCTTTAGTGTCCCCTGGTCTCCAGCTGTGTGCGTCACTCTTTAGTGTCCCCTGGTCTCCCAGCTGTGTGCGTCACTCTTTAGTGTCCCCTGTTCTCCCAGCTGTGTGCGTCACTCTTTAGTGTCCCCTGGTCTCCAGCTGTGTGCGTCACTCTTTAGTGTCCCCTGGTCTCTCAGCTGTGTGCGTGACTCTTTAGTGTCCCCTGGTCTCCCAGCTGTGTGCGTCACTCTTTAGTGTCCCCTGGTCTCCCAGCTGTGTGCATGACTCTTTAGTGTCCCCTGGTCTCCAGCTGTGTGCGTCACTCTTTAGTGTCCCCTGGTCTCCAGCTGTGTGCGTGACTCTTTAGTGTCCCCTGGTCTCCAGCTGTGTGCGTCACTCTTTAGTGTCCCCTGGTCTCCAGCTGTGTGCGTCACTCTTTAGTGTCCCCTGGTCTCCGTTGTGTTCTGAGCTTCTTGCAGCGTTTGGTTTCTGCAGCTTTCAGTAAACGCTGCCATGTCTCCTCAAGTTGCTGAAGGTGTTTCTTCATGAGGAACATTTGGTTTTCTATATCGGCATCCTTTCTGAAGCTGTTTCTCCTGATGGAAGTGTTTTGAGCGTTGTAGCGCGTTACAGTCACAATACAGTACAATTACTGAGACAACGTCACCTTTAATGTTTCTATTTGAGGATATAAATGGCCCCTCTCTGATGTTGGAGGGTCTTCAGAGTGCGAGGGGGAAACCAGAGATTAGCCCGAGGTGCCGCAGGAGAAGAGGATCTCTGTCACAGAAGCTTTTAAAGGCTCAGGGTCAGGATTAGTGGAAGAGCCGCGTGGTGCGATGGGACAACAGGAAATGCATCTCAACCAGTGTGTGTGTGTGTGTGTGTGTGTGTGTGTGTGTGTGTGTGTGTGTGTGTGGGGGGTGTGTGTGTGTGTGTGTGTGTGTGTGTGTGTGTGTGTGTGTGTGTGTTGAGAGGGTTCCAACAATTTTAACCTACAGAGCAAACTCAATTAATCTGTCAGTGTGTTATTTATCTAGCGAACGTTGTCTATAGCTATCTTGAACTAGCTTACCTTAGCTAGCCGGTCCTCTAAAGTTCCTCCAATCTCCTCTCTAACTTTCTTCAACATAGATAACACGCTAGCTATCAAATGTTAGCTGCTAAACTAGTTATCGCCAAATTGGTGGCTCTCATAATGTAAATACGAATTATTATTAACCCTCTATGGTGAGACTTAGTGTGGACCTTTCAGACAGTGAGAGTCATCATAAAAACAGTGTTGATCACATAATACTCATCAAAAATGGTTCATTTCTCGCCTGAAAAATAGTTAAAACTCAATAAAAGTTAACTTAAAAGCTAAAAATCACGTTTCCTTGGCAAGTAAAGGTTCACAATGCTGGAGACGTTATGCTAAGAAACAGGGGCGGACTAGCCATCGGGACGTTTGGGACGAATCCTGATGGACCGGTACTGAAGTGGGCCGGTCAGATAAGTCACTACAATGTTTATGAATAATTGGTCATTAACGAGCAGTTTCCTGAGTAGGAGGAAGAGGAGGAGGAAGAGGAGGAAGAAGAGGAGGAGGAAGAGGAAGAAGAGGAGGAAGAAGAAGAGGAGGAGGAGGAAGAGGAGGAGGAGGAGGAGGAGGAGGAGGAGGAGGAGGAGGAGGAAGAGGAGGAAGAAGAGGAGGAGGAAGAGGAAGAAGAGGAGGAAGAAGAAGAGGAGGAGGAGGAGGAGGAAGAGGAGGAGGAGGAGGAGGAGGAGGAGGAGAGGAGGAGAGGAGGAGGAGAGGAGGAGGAGGAGGAGAGGAGGAGGAGGAGGAGGAGAGGAGAGGAGGAGGAGGAGGAGGAGGAGAGGAGGAGGAGGAGGAGGAGGAGGAGGAGGAGGAGGAGGAGGAGGAGGAGGAGGAGGAGGAGGAGGAGGAGGAGGAGAGGAGGAGGAGGAGGAGAGGAGGAGGAGGAGAGGAGGAGGAGAGGAGGAGGAGGAGGAGGGGAGGAGGAGAGGAGGAGGAGGAGGAGAGGAGGAGAGGAGGAGGAGAGGAGGAGGAGGAGGAGAGGAGGAGAGGAGGAGGAGGAGGAGGAGAGGAGGAGGAGGAGGAGGGGAGGAGGAGAGGAGGAGGAGGAGGAGGAGAGGAGGAGGAGGAGGAGAAATAGTCAGAAGGCACAAACAAAAACAAAACAATATGAAAAATAAAAAGATAAATAAAATATGAATTCAATTAATCGTTTTCCTAATAATAATAATAATAATAATAATAATAATAATAATAATAATAATAATAATAATAATAATAATAATGATAATAATTAAAAACGATTATTCAACATTATCATAATGATAATGTTGAATAATCGTTTTTAATTATTATTATTAACATTATTGTTAATAATAATAATTACTATTGTTATTATTATTATAACATGAATAATGGAATGAATTTGAATAATAATAATAACATGTGAATTCTGTTTGAAAACGATTGTATTTTTATTAATATTATATTGAATTAAAACGATGTAAATAATAATGACTCCATTTGATTGAATGTTTTTTAAAAACCCATCCTAATAATGAACCAGTTGCAGCTGTTATGAAACCCTCTCCAGCAGCTCTTCTTCATCCTCTTCATCCTCACGTGTCAGCTGATATTAAAGATCACATTCAGTCTGATGTGTGTCCTCGCGGACCCCCTCAGCGGAGAGACTCCTCGTGCTCTAACCTGAAGGGACAGAACAGGTCTGGCTTGTGGCACACAATTAAACACGTAAAGTTAAAACACGTTGGATTTAATCTGATCATTAACTTCCGCTTGACTTTGATTTGGTTGAAATTATTCAAACGCATGGCCTGTGTTGTAAACAGCGCGCGCGATGATGTCACGCGATAAGAGAATCAGCAGGGCTTGTTTTAGCTTCTCTGAAGTTTAAACAGACTTTAATCAACGCTGCACCGTTTCTGCACAGCAGCTGGATCACTGCTGAACACGAGCTCATTCAAAGCACGCAAAGAAACACGGAGTCTCTAAATCACGCACCTCTCCACGATCCACACACACAACCAGATCTATTGTGTTTGTGAGAGGCATATAATACTAGAGATACTCAGATAATATACAAGAGCGATCACGCATTATATATTATCTGGACTATCTTTCACCAAAATAGATCCGAAATCATTCCTAAACATAATTACGCACGAACTGGCTGGTATGGTTTTAAATGTGCGTGTGTGCGCGTGCGTGTAAAGTGTATGCAGCTCATCTGGGTTTTCAGAGGTTAAATGGAAGTCCTCATGTTCTGGAGCTGCAGACTGAACGCAGAAACAAAGAACTGCTTTTTCCCCTTTTACGGTTTTCATTTCATTTCATGAACAACATGTTGGTTGAAAGTATTTAAGCTGCTTGGATGAAAACGAACGCAATTCTTTGTCGAATTGGTATAAAAATAAAATACAAAATATATTTTAAAAAATGCCTTTTATAAGTTTAACCAGATAAAATCCGAGCTGGATGAAAAGTGTTCCTCCTGTTGCTTCCACACACACACACACACACACACACACACACACACACACACACACACACACACACACACACACACACACACACACACACACACACACACACACACACACACACACACACACACACACACACACACACACACACACACACACACACACACCTCTCTCTCCAAACGTCTCCCTGTTGATGCCTCTCTCTCTGCCTCTCGTTGGGACCAGCCCTCTGAAGGTGGATCATGCCGTGCAGCCTCTTCTATAAAACCCCCCGCAGAACGGAGAGTCTCCGGGTTGCAGAGCAGCAGAGCAGCAGAGGAGCAGACTCTCTGAAACTCAAGCACGGATTTTCTCTCCGCGCTGACTACAGGTACGTTCAGCCTTTTTACGCACGCGCCTTTACGCACAGAATCCTTTTTTCGCAGCAAGTCGTTGAGCTTTTAAACTGTTGTATCCTTCTTTCATGTCATTTACAAACTCGGTTGTAGCCTACCTAGTACCTACTGTATTCAAATCCTGCCTTTCTTCTTCTGCTTCTTCTTAAAAACCCTGATTTATTGCTACCATTGGCCCATAAAGCAGGTCCGCCTGGGGGGTGGCTGAGCCCCCTGAACTGTACCTATAAAAGGCGCATAACCTAATAGACAAGCCGGCGCATGTAAACCTGTAAAACTATTTGGAATAGTTGACAGCTCCTGCTCGTGTTGGGAGGAATGGAGAAGGGGAGTTTCCTCAGAGGCACGTTTCTCACGGAGAGCTCATCCAAAGCGCATCCATCCGGTCTGAAGGAGGCGGAAACTCTTTATCAAATGCACACAATTACAACTTCTTCCTGTTTTTCACATCAGAAGAAAATGCGTTTGGCTGCAGAAATAATGTATTTATTAGCCCAAACTTTAGGTTGCAGGTAAAAGAACTACATGTGCAGCTCAGTCATTGACACACAGTGTGTTACTCAAACCAGACTGTGACTTTACACTGACATGAAACCCTGTTAATAGCGCAGAAGTGAGCAGATCAGCGGCTGCTTTGATTACTGTTATTATTGTGCTCTGTAATAACAGGCTGTCTGCAGAGTTCAGAAAGAGTTTAGATTCCTCTGCAGCTCCAACACACCTTTCTTTTTATTTGGACCAGAGGTGGAAAGTAACTAAGTACATTTAGTCTTCTATACTGTGTACTTCTACTCCACTAGTTCAGAGGTACATGGTGTACTTCTACTCCACTAGTTCAGAGGTACATGGTGTACTTTTCCTCCACTACATGTATTTAATACCTTTAGTTACTTCACAGATCTGGATGAATGATGTGAAATATAATCAAGTGTTAAATCAGACTTTAGTTCCACCTGGAGTAAATCCACCAGCTACCCTGCAGAATACAAAGTACTTCAAACTAGCTGCACCTTCACCAGCTTTGAGAACACTTTCATGATCAATCATTATAAAACATATCATATATATTATTCTGAAATGGACCAATCTGCACAATGACTACTTTTACTGTCGCTACTTTCACTATATTTTGATGAGAATACTTTTCTACTTTCACTTGAGGAACATTTTTGAATGTTTATTGTAACAGAGTATTCCTACACTCTACTTCTACTTTTACTCAAGCACAAGATCTCTGAATCTTTCTACTGTAGCTGACAACAAAACCTGTGAATCTTGGATGTGTTTTTATGTGAACAAAACGTGTGGGTAGGAGTATAAAGTAGCGTTACATGGAAACATTTTGAATGCAGGACTTTTACTGTAAAAGAGTATTCCCACTCTGGTACTTCTACTTTTATTCAATTAAAAGATCTGAGTACTTCTCTCCCTCTGATTCGGACAGGAGGAGGACGCAGCGAACGGAAAGGAGGACGGTTAAACTCCCGGAAAAGACGCGCCACAGGTGGATGCTGGGAAATCGGACGGTGTGTGGAGATGTTTTTAGATGCCGCGCAGTTCGGGGCTCTGTTACCCCTGGCGGCCGCGCTCACCTCGGTGCTGTGCGCGCTGCTGCTGCTGGCTCTGACCCGCCAGCTGTGGAGCCTCCGCTGGACTCTGACCCGGGACAAGGAGAGCAGTCTGCCGCTGCCCAAAGGCTCCATGGGCTGGCCGCTGGTCGGGGAGACTTTCCACTGGCTGTTCCAGGTGAGAGATACCATACGATAATAATGTCATGGTCAGATCAAGTCTGAAATGTGACTCGCATCCCAGCAGCTCCATGTGTCACATCAACAGACACATATCAAGACACATGAGAAACAATCAAGAAACATGTAACTTAAAAGCACAATCACTGAGAGAAAAGCTCAAAGAGCCTTCAGCGTGCATCTGGACTCAGCTCTGTGTTCACTGAGAGGACTGACTGGAGCACTAAGGATGCTTCAGTCTGACTTTAGTGAATCTCCATTAGATGGTAGCAGTTCAGATTCTCTGTTAGAGCATGCTTTGGGTCTCACGTGATGTTGTTGGACAGCCTCACGGGTTATTATGGTCTGCTGAGTCAAGATGACACCTCCGGCCTGGTTTTGCTTTTTTTATTTGATTTACAAGCTGCAACAAATCCTCCTGCAAGTTTGTATTGTGTTAATCCATGCTATGATTTGACCTGTGGTGTAAAGTAACTAAGTAGATTTACTGTGCTTCAGTAACTATTTACTAAAACGCCAAACATATCTGGATCTTCTTAAAACAGTACCACAATGTAGAAAATGAATACCCCGTTACAATATCTCAAATATTTAAGAACATTTGGATGCTAATTATTTGAACCTTTACTTGAGTAACATTAGAGATAGTTGAAACTTGTAACAGAGTATTTCTACACTCTATTACTCAAGTACAATATTTTCCACCTCTGATCATAAACATCGTGCTTTATCTCCACAGTAAGCATTTTAAAATATACAGTAAATTGTATAGTGTTTTTTAGTCAACTTTGTAACACCTGTGAAGTTCCCGCCATAGGGAATGAACGGAGATGCTAGATGATGTTCTTCCATCAGATAGCACAGAACCACAATGTACAAAATGCTAATTTAGGAATTCATTTGAAGTGTCTATTCGTTGTGTATTCCCTGCAGTTATCCATGTTAACCAGCAGTCTGAGACTCTTAGCTTAAAGTGAGTTAAGGGGGAAGAAACAAACACAACCAGAGGGTTAATTCAACACGTTAAACACAAGAGCTGTTGGAAGGTGTTTTTATTAATCTCATATAAAGGATGGAGATGTAGAAGCGTTGCAGGTTCTTGAGCTGCTGCAGGTAATGCAACATGTGCCGACTTGATGCTCCGTGCGTAAAACCAGACGCTTTCTGACCGATCCTTCCTCCTCTTTCCCCGAGTCCACAGCGAGGAATGCACCCTCTCATCTCACATCTCACATCTCTCATCTCACATCTCACATCTCTCATCTCACATCTCACATCTCACATCTCACATCTCACATCTCTCATCTCACATCTCACATCTCTCATCTCACATCTCACATCTCACATCTCTCATCTCACATCTCACATCTCACATCTCACATCTCACATCTCACATCTCACATCGCGTGTGTGTGTTTCCTTCCGTCTTTGATTCTTCTTATAATTCCATCTGCCGAATGTCCCATTTAAACTGGATCCTCTCCTGCTGATGTTCAGGTGTATATCAGTATGTAGTGTCTCTACTTTAAAGAGTCCTCTCCTGCTGATGTTCAGGTGTATATCAGTATGTAGTGTCTCTACTTTAAAGAGTCCTCTCCTGATGATGTTCAGGTGTATATCAGTATGTAGTGTCTCTACTTTAAAGAGTCCTCTCCTGCTGATGTTCAGGTGTATATCAGTATGTAGTGTCTCTACTTTAAAGAGTCCTCTCCTGCTGATGTTCAGGTGTATATCAGTATGTAGTGTCTCTACTTTAAAGAGTCCTCTCCTGCTGATGTTCAGGTGTATATCAGTATGTAGTGTCTCTACTTTAAAGAGTCCTCTCCTGCTGATGTTCAGGTGTATATCAGTATGTAGTGTCTCTACTTTAAAGAGTCCTCTCCTGCTGATGTTCAGGTGTATATCAGTATGTAGTGTCTCTACTTTAAAGAGTCCTCTCCTGCTGATGTTCAGGTGTATATCAGTATGTAGTGTCTCTACTTTAAAGAGTCCTCTCCTGCTGATGTTCAGGTGTATATCAGAATGTAGTGTCTCTACTTTAAAGAGTCCTCTCCAGCTGATGTTCAGGTGTATATCAGTATGTAGTGTCTCTACTTTAAAGAGTCCTCTCCTGCTGATGTTCAGGTGTATATCAGTATGTAGTGTCTCTACTTTAAAGAGTCCTCTCCTGCTGATGTTCAGGTGTATATCAGTATGTAGTGTCTCTACTTTAAAGAGTCCTCTCCTGCTGATGTTCAGGTGTATATCAGTATGTAGTGTCTCTACTTTAAAGAGTCCTCTCCTGCTGATGTTCAGGTGTATATCAGTATGTAGTGTCTCTACTTTAAAGAGTCCTCTCCTGCTGATGTTCAGGTGTATATCAGTATGTAGTGTCTCTACTTTAAAGAGTCCTCTCCTGCTGATGTTCAGGTGTATATCAGTATGTAGTGTCTCTACTTTAAAGAGTCGTCTCCTGCTGATGTTCAGGTGTATATCAGTATGTAGTGTCTCTACTTTAAAGAGTCCTCTCCTGCTGATGTTCAGGTGTATATCAGTATGTAGTGTCTCTACTTTAAAGAGTCCTCTCCAGCTGATGTTCAGGTGTATATCAGTATGTAGTGTCTCTACTTTAAAGAGTCCTCTCCTGCTGATGTTCAGGTGTATATCAGTATGTAGTGTCTCTACTTTAAAGAGTCCTCTCCTGCTGATGTTCAGGTGTATATCAGTATGTAGTGTCTCTACTTTAAAGAGTCCTCTCCTGCTGATGTTCAGGTGTATATCAGTATATAGTGTCTCTACTTTAAAGAGTCCTCTCCTGCTGATGTTCAGGTGTATATCAGCATGTAGTGTCTCTACTTTAAAGAGTCCTCTCCTGCTGATGTTCAGGTGTATATCAGTATGTAGTGTCTCTACTTTAAAGAGTCCTCTCCTGCTGATGTTCAGGTGTATATCAGTATGTAGTGTCTCTACTTTAAAGAGTCCTCTCCTGCTGATGTTCAGGTGTATATCAGTATGTTGTGTCTCTACTTTAAAGAGTGCTATCCTGCTGATGTTCAGGTGTATATCAGTATGTAGTGTCTCTACTTTAAAGAGTCCTCTCCTGCTGATGTTCAGGTGTATATCAGTATGTTGTGTCTCTACTTTAAAGAGTGCTATCCTGCTGATGTTCAGGTGTATATCAGTATGTAGTGTCTCTACTTTAAAGAGTCCTCTCTTGCTGATGTTCAGGTGTATATCAGTATGTTGTGTCTCTACTTTAAAGAGTGCTATCCTGCTGATGTTCAGGTGTATATCAGTATGTAGAGTCTCTACTTTAAAGAGTCCTCTCCTGCTGATGTTCAGGTGTATATCAGTATGTTGTGTCTCTACTTTAAAGAGTGCTATCCTGCTGATGTTCAGGTGTATATCAGTATGTAGTGTCTCTACTTTAAAGAGTCCTCTCCTGCTGATGTTCAGGTGTATATCAGTATGTAGTGTCTCTACTTTAAAGAGTCCTCTCCTGCTGATGCTCAGGTGTATATCAGTATGTAGTGTCTCTTTATTTGTCTCTACTTGTGCTCCTATAACTTAATTCTCTGATCACTTCTCCAGGGCTCGAACTTCCACATTTCGCGCAGAGAGAGACATGGGAATGTGTTTAAGACCCACCTTCTCGGGAAACCCGTGGTCCGAGTGACGGGAGCAGAAAACATCCGGAAGATTCTCCTGGGAGAACACAGTCTGGTCTGCACTCAGTGGCCTCAGAGCACCCGCATCATCCTGGGGCCCAACACACTGGTGAACTCCATCGGAGACCTGCACAAGAGGAAGAGGAAGGTAAAGAGAACCCAATGTCTCTTTGGGGCGGCAGGGGTTCAGTCTGTAGGGACACATTACGGAGTGTGGACTGATACTGGAGAGGAGCCAGTTCACCTCCTTGGCCACTTCTGAGGTGCCCTTGAGCAAGGCACCTAACCCCAACTGCTCCCCAGTGCCTCTCCGCTCTGGGCCTCTCAATGCATGTGCATGTGGGAATTGATAACTGTGTGTATGTACCTATAGGCTATAAGAAGCATGTGCATGTATACTAAAAACAGAGTGGAAAACTGAATTTGAATCACCCACCCGTTCCCCCTCCTCAGCAAGTATTTACGGAAAGGTGTTGCCTGTCATGCTGTAACTTTGTTTGATATCCCTCTGTCGACCCTTTCCAGATCCTGGCTAAAGTGTTTAGCCGCGGCGCTCTGGAGTCCTACCTTCCTCGGCTGCAGGAAGTCGTGAAGTCTGAAATCGCCAAATGGTGCTCGGAGCCGGGATCCGTCGACGTCTACAGCGCCGCCAAATCTCTGACTTTCCGGATCGCCGTCCGGGTCCTTCTGGGTCTGAAGATGGAGGAGGAGCGGATCGTTTACCTGGCGCAGATCTTCGAGCAGCTGATGAACAACCTGTTCTCTCTGCCTTTCGACGCTCCACTCAGCGGGCTGCGTAAGGTGAGAGGACACCTGGGACTTTTTGTTGCTTCATTGTTTTATGTCTTATATATATAAGTTGCATTGTTGGAGGAGCCTGCAGCTCGTGTGCATATGACATTAATATCTTTAAATTGAA